AGATATTTCGACTTGTGGTAATTCCAGATATCCCATTCCCAATTGTACTTGATAAAGTCTTGGAGGAATAGGTACAAATCCTTCAGGCACATGTTCCTTATAAAAACCATTGAATTAGCACTAACATAATTAAAAAAATACTTCAATAATTTCAAATAAAACTCACAGTAGGAATATAAGGGCGTTCATCTAAATTCAAAACATCCCAAAATTCAGTACTTTCATCTCCTTGAATTTCTGTTATAATTTCAGCTTTATTCTTTCTTTCATTCTTATTAATTTTTTCGGCCATCAACCGGGCCTTAGATTTTAATGTGCTTTTAGATTTTTTTCCATACCACATGAATATTTTAGTTCCTATGTCTAATACGAACACGTATCTTGGATCTAAAGATTCAGATTTTACAGGCTGAGCTTCAAGATGCACAGATGATCCAGCGGCATGCACTCGATATAGTCTAACAACATAGGTCTGAAAATGATAAACTAAATACACTAAATCTGTAAATAACTATGTGTAAATGGAATTTGCCTTAAAAGGGTATTCTAGTCTAAAGGCATGAAATTTTATGTAATTTTCGAAATACCGTAAAAAATATTTTTAATTGAACTAGTGGGGTGCATGACATCGTGTCTTAAGGCAAATTGCTGGAACTTGCCGTACCGTAATTAAAAATCTTGGTACCAAACCCCAAAAAAAAATTACACAAAATGTGTATACATTATTAAAATCTCTAAAAAATATCTGATAATTTGATGTACATATGTCCAATAAACATTTTTGATCGCAAAATGACGTTTTTTTAATTTCCCGTAAGGTAAGTTATTGCAATCGTCCAAAAATCGAAAATGAAAATTTTTACATTTCTTAACGTTTTGAAGGTTTCTGAACATTTTGGCATACCTCAGAAAAAATGGATGTGTGTGTGTGTGTATGTATGTATGGATACAATTTTTCGTCCACGTTTTCGGGCGCACGTATCAACCGATTTGAATGGTTCAAAAAACATTCGATTCCTATTTATAGGGAGATGTGCTGATTAGTTTTTGACAAAGGCAGATCCAGTAGTTACGGAGATAAAGAGCAAAGAGTGCAGAAAATAGAATCGAGTTTTTGAGATAACAAAGCATCCGATTTGAATGATCTAAAAACATTCAATTAGTAATGATTGGGAGAAGTGGTTATTAGTTTTTGGCAAAGGCAGGCCAGCCATTTCGAAGATACAGAGCTAAATGTGCAAAAATGGCAGTTATTGAAGAACTAAGCGTCCGATTCAAATGATTCAAAGAACTTTCTGCTAGTTTAAACAAAATAATTGATTTTGGACAATAAAAATTTATCAAATTTTTTTTTTTTTAATTCTTTTTTTCAAAAAAAATTTTTTTGTATATCAAAAATAATTCAGATTTTATTTTTAATTCTGACTAAAGTTCTAATATACTTTAAACAAATAATTTCAACTTTGAATTCAGTTTATATAATTCTTATAAATATTAGACAATGTTCCAGTGTTTATAATAATCTATTTGAAAACATTTAATATTCCTTGAACATTCAGTTACGGTACGGAAAGTTGCAGCAATTTGCCTTAAGGCACGATGGCATACATCCCACTAGTTAACTTATTTTTATTGAGGGTCTATAACCGCTG